GGCAGCTTTATTTATTTATTTATTTTTTTTTGTGCGGCGAGGTGGTCTGGAATCGCTCATACATAATGTCTATGCTCAAAATGACCATAATTGCATAGATTACTCATCATTTTATGTACAGTAGATGATATTGATTTCTTGTGTATGGATTAGTTTAGTCTAAACTGAAAGAAAAGTTGAGACTTAAGAGTAGTAATAATAGGGATTATACTTTTTCATTGATAAATAATACGTTTAGTTAAAATGAAATTAATTGAATGATTTAGACTTAAAACGGACACTTTATAACTATCTAATTTCAATGTCGATCGCTCACACTTCGCTGTGTTAGCGTTGCGAAGCTTATCAAATATAGATAAAGGCCTGATTGGCCTATGATATCAACTGAAAATAAAGCAAATATGTGAGACATAGAGGAAGGTACAACTGTCTATAATGCATTAAATAATAAATATTAAATATACAAAACGTATTTAGTATGCCATAGCTCATATAAACTATTTCTGTTTTTTTTTTTTTTTTTTGCAGGATGGGATCTCAGCTCGGTGGAGGACATCGAGTGTATTGGTGTTACGCATGGCATTGTGGGCGTCATCTCGCTGCCTAATGTGTATGAACCGCATTTGGTGATTATTAAGGAGGCGGTTGCCATGGGTGTGCTATATCCGCCACATTTGGTGTACAAAATCAAGTCCATATGCATACTCAGTGCCGATGAGCCGGACTCGGAGCTGCCCAACTGCACCAAGCACACCAAGTAAGTTTGTCAGTTGTCTAGCATCTTCAACTTTGTTAATGTACTTTGCATGTCATTCTTACAGAAGCAACAGCTCCACGCCCACGCACAGCGCCTCCTCATCCAGCAACAATGCGAGTGGAAGAACCACGCAAGGGTCCAGCACGAAGAGTACCAAACTCTTCGAGGGCATGAATAAGACGTGGGGTGTTGTCAAGAGCGCTGGGAATACAATCAAAGCCACCACACAGCAGGCAGCCAATTTGGCTACCAAACAGGTTAAAAATTCTGTGGGTATACGGGAGCCAAGGCAAATCGAGCGACGTATTACCGAGGAGCTGCACAAAATATTTGACGAGACGGACAGTTTCTACTTCAGTTTCGACTGCGACATCACCAACAATCTGCAAAGGCACGTGGTCACAGAGGATGATGCCCAGCCGCAGCCAGATGAGAGATTTTTCTGGAACATGCACATGATCAGAGATATCATTAAGATGAATGTATGTACTGAATATTAAAAGTCAATTGCGAGACTTATTTCAATGTATTCCTGCATTGTAGGATAAAACATGGATATTGCCCATTATTCAAGGATTTGTGCAGGTGGAAGGATGTGTCATTGGCAATGACTGTTTTACATTGTCTTTGGTCTCGCGACGCTCACGTCATCGTGCGGGTACGCGGTAAGTCAATGGACACTATCTATATTATAGGCGATTAACTGTAATATATATAATTGCAGCTATAAACGCCGTGGAGTGGATGAGAAGGGCAACTGCGCCAATTACGTGGAAACAGAGCAATTACTCTCATTCCGCCATCACCAACTGTCCTTTACGCAGGTGCGCGGGTCGGTGCCCATTTTTTGGAGTCAGCCCGGGTACAAATATCGGCCGCCACCACGTTTGGATCGGGGCGTGGCCGAGACACAGCAAGCCTTTGAGCTGCACTTTACCAAAGAGCTAGCCATCTACGAGCGCGTATGCATTATTAACCTGGTGGAGCAGAGCGGAAAGGAGAAGCTGATTGGCGATGCGTATGCGGAGCATGTGATAAAATACAACAACGAACAGATAATCTATGTCACATTTGATTTCCATGACTATTGGTGAGTAGAGGTATATATATCACTATATTGCATTTATTATATTAACACATTCCTTTATCCAATAGTCGCGGCATGCGGTTTGGGAATGTGTCTGCATTGATTGATGCCATTGGTCCGGAGGCAGGTGCCATGGGCTTTCACTGGCGGGATCAGCGCGGCATCATCTGCAATCAAAAGTCCGTTTTTCGTGTTAATTGCATGGATTGTCTGGATCGTACGAATGTGGTACAGACGGCAATTGGAACAGCGGTGCTGCAATCGCAGCTGGTTAAGTTGGGGCTCTCGCCACCCTATTCCCCAATACCAGATCCATTGAAGTCCTCCTTTATGGTGCTGTGGGCAAACAATGGCGATGTTATAAGCAGACAGTATGCAGGCACGAATGCATTAAAGGTTAGAAATCATCTCTTAATCAATATTATAGATATTTCAGATTAATTTCTGTTCCATTCTAGGGTGATTACACACGAACGGGAGAGCGAAAAATCAGCGGCATGATGAAGGACGGCATGAACTCGGCCAATCGGTTTGTAGCATAATCAAACTACTTTATAATGAGTTCTATATATTTGCTTGTGCTCACACTTTATCCATTAACATGTTTTTATCTAAATAGCTTCATTCCATGATAATAATTTACATCGAAAGAAATCAAAGTTGATAATATTTCCTTGGGTTTAATTGTTGTATTTCTGAATATGGCCATTATCAACCTTTCGCACTGTTATCACGTTCTCTTTTTAATGACAAAATCGAACAAGAGAAGTCATTTCGGAATTAAAAATCCATTTTACTAATATCGCATGCTATTTACCCAATCTCCACTAATTATACACAAAAGCCCACCTATATGTTATTTGTTCAAGCTTCTATTTATTTGTACACTTCACTTAAACGTCAAACGACTTCGAAAGAATTTGATACTCTTTAACTATACTAACTATTGTTGAACCCATGCTTTGTGCCTGGGTGAAGGGTATGCCAGTGCTATCATAATAAATAGCAGACTGCATATCTGTGAACCCTGTTTATATATGACTCTTAGCTAATGTCATGCCCACTTCTTCGTAGCTTTTTCATTCAAAACTTTGCCGACTCGTTTCGCCAGTGCATTATCGATCTGATGCAAGGTCAACTGCAGCAGGCGGACGAATTGAGAGAGGATGATGTTCTAGAAACCATTGTACAAATACTCACACCCGAGTCCCGTCCACCATTGCGTGGATATTACAGTGCGGGCGTGCTGGGACCTGAGCTCAAATTGCTCGAGTCGGTTGTCTTAAACAGGTGCGCAAGTAGGACCATCGTAAATGAAGGCCTGAAAGCAGCTCAACCAGATGGCAAAGAAATTCAATCAAACGTATTCACACAATTACAATTCTTAGTTGCTCCAATTGTTACCATTTTATTGTTTCTTTCTCTTTAAAAGGTATATTACCATTCGATTTTCAATTTTATTTATTTATCATTTACTATCATTCATCTGCACCTTGCTTCTTTTATTGATTGTTTGAGAAATGAGAACTAAATGTGTAAATCATCCATACTGTTTCAGTTATTACCTAGCGCGCTTTAAGGACTCGTATCGTCAAGCCACTATTGATCTAATGCTGGGCAACCACGTTTCTTCGGAATCGCTAAGCGCTTTGGGCGGTCAAGCGGCGCCAGATGAAACTGACGGCGAAAATGCGGAGCATGCGAAATTACTGGTGGAAGACTGTCGTCGCTTACTGTTGAGCTCGGAGCAGTATCCAGTCGGTGCTTGGGGCTTAATCGATGCGGATCCCAGGTAAATATTACATTAAAATCCGTGAGCTATTAACAATTCTACCAACAACTACGCTTTAGCTCTGGGGATGCCAACGAAACGGAGGTGGACTCAGTCTTGTTGCTTACGGACGACTGTTATATTGTGGCCGAGTATGATTCGCATCTGGACAAGATTGTGCGCTTTGAGAAGGTACTGTTGTCACAGGTGCGGCTCATTGAACTCGGCATGCATCAGCAGACAAAAATCTTTCAAGGATCCTCGCAGGCGCATCTGTGCCTGCGCCTGAACTACTGCGTTGATGGTCTAGAGGGATACTTCCACATGTTCCGCTCAGCCAATTTGCGTTTCTTTAACAATGCAGCCTATGTTATTAAAACGCAGGAGGAGCTCACCGAATCGCTGACCGCGATTGTGGAAATGTTTCGAATCGCTTTGGAGAACGCCGGCAATAAGGATGTTCGTTTTATTACTGGCGGGGTTTTGCAGCGACGCAAGAGTAAACTGCCATTGTTGGATGTGCCGAAAGGCATGCCTCGCAATCTATCTGAATCTCAACTGGTACAGCTCAGTTCCAAAGCCATTTCGAACGTCGCTGGACAGTTCTCGAAACTAGGTCAGACCTTTAAGAAGCCCTCGAGCGCCGGTCAGCCTGGCAACGTTGCCGCCACTCTCAATCCGCAAGTGATGCGCCAATCAGAGGGTACAGCATTGGACTTTTGCCAGGAAGCCGACAAGGCCGTTTTTACAGTCGGCGGCAAGCAACGGGCGAATAGCTCGAGCAGCACGGACACCGATGAGCGCGACAATAGCCTGTATGAGCCTGAGGTGGACTCGGACGTTGAGATTGCTATGGATAAGGGCAACTACAATGAGAACACCTTTCTGCCCTCCGTTGGAATTGTGATGGGCGGGCAAATAGAGCAGCCCAGCTCCTCAAACAATATGCGACAACTGGAGCAAAAGGATAGCATGTGCAAAACTGCCGAGGATGTGCTCACCATATCTATATCAACTGTAACCGATAATGTTGGTCTGCCCAATGGCTTGCTAGAGAATGCGCCAACCCTGCGGCCGATTACGCCAAATCCTCAAATATGCTTACAGGCTCAAGAGACGGAGAATTCGGATGTGGAAGGGGATAGACACGGGCTAAGGTCGGTATTCTACATTTAATTTCCCAATGTAATATTAATGCTTTGTTCGTTGTGTTCTGGGCCTTAAGTTGTTTGTAGACAATCTTTATATATTAGACAAGCTCTATATTCTATATATTTGTACAATTTTTCTTTTATTGTGTTGAAGTTATTTCACAAATAGCTATGAAACTATTAAGTATTATGGTATTATTATAGCCTTTATATGTTCAATTGCTCTCACGTATACAAATAGTATTTATGTTACATACTCAAAGCATGTGTTTCCTAACAAAATATATGTTTCTTATGTAATCGAATGGCTTACAGTTCAACAAATAAATCTATTCATAAGTCAACAATATAAGAGCGTTTCTTTTTTGTTACAAATATTTGTGATCCACTTTTTAGTATTGCTGCCAATGAAGCAAACCTTCCGCACGGTCAGCCCGTCTATTTTGAGGCTAACAAGTTTAAGCCCATTACCAATCCACTCTCCAAGCTGGCCAAAGGCATGCAGAACATTGGCTTGAATCTGGATCCACGCAAGATTGCCAATAAGGTAAGCCGATAAATCATTTGTCGAATCAGACCTAACCGTATTATCTTCATTGCTTGCAGGCCAGCGTGCTGTCGCCTACTAGCCTATCGGCGGATAACTCTCCTCCAGGCCGTGGTCCAGGCTCGCGAGATGTATTGCTAGAAATGTGGGAAGCTGAGAAATGCAAGTCCAAGCTGATAGCTCTGTGAAGGGATATACTAAGTGATATACAAAATTATTTATTATACAAGTTTTAGAGCGGAAAGTTTACTCTAGCTGTTTTACGTGGCACTTCCATATAAGGGAATCTATATACTATATATAGCTCATATATATATATATATATATATACATACATACAATAAGTATTTTCGTTCATGCGGCACGTATTTAATAGACATGTTCGTTGAACTGTACCCGATATATGCAATGTTTGTGATTGTTACTGTAGTGCGTTAGTTAACTATGTGTGTCATCAACATTTACAAATATGTATATCTATTTGTTTGTGATTGTATGGTAAATTAAGTTAAACGGAATATGTTACGTATGCATGAGTAACACCAAGCAATATAAATATGTTTTCAGGTTCAATTGATATTTTAACAACCTAATTATTCATGTATTATGATGTAGCAACAAATACTTATGACATGCTTTATAAACCTAACCACCAAATGCATAGATTTAATTATTCAATTATAGCGTGCTTATGAATGTAGACATCTTATACGTAAACGAAACCAAAAACCAAAAACAAACAAAAAACAAATGTCACAAACAAACAAACAAATAAACAACAAAAAGACAAGACAAACAGAAGACTTGGCCAATGCGTATGTAACTTATTTTATACACGGAACACTAAAAACAAAAACTAAATTTTTTGGCTAGATTATGAGTATTAAAAATAAAAAGAAAAACCATTATTAACTTAGCGATATTCAATAAAAAATTAAGAAAACTAATAAACATCTAAAAATGTAGAATTCGAAACGCCAACGAATATACAAATTTATTATACACGCTGCGATTATTCGATTATGATGTATTTTTATTAACTATAACGTGTTTATTGTCACTCCAAATGTAATACAAATCTGTAGTAATATATATGTACATATACGCCACCGAATACTTGGATATGCCTATACATATACATAAATATAAATAGCTTCAAATATAATTGGAACATATAGCAAACTCGAAGCATACGAGTTAGTTATTCTCTTCCTATACTTGGAGAGCTTAGTAATTTATAATTGTGCATTGATTTCAGAAACGAATAGATTCACCAAAATTTTGATTACTTTTTGGACATTACAGAATTTTTGAGCACTTTTTCGAAATTATTCAAAATCAGTATATAAACAGCTTTTAATTTTTTTGCTGCCTCAAGGCAATGTATAATATGACTTAAATAGAACATGGGACTTATGACTTCGTACCGATGATAGCAATGTATGTTGATTTTTTATCGCATATGAATATTTATGATGTTATAAAAAAGACAATCTAGTGAAATAGAAACTTGTTAAAGAGATGCAGTGAATGATGTAACCTGTTGAATTATTAATATTCAAAGAGATTTTGTAGGCTTTTCTTTATCAATTAAGTAAGCGACATACTTATGTCGACCCGAGATAAAAACTAGTTTCTATGATATTACCCCAAGAAGACTAAGCTTAACTTTTGGTTAATCGAAAACCAGTAAATATGTAAGAATTGTTTTTTAGTCTTGTCAAGAATTCCTAAAGCAATCCTTGGGATTTATTCCCACCTATTCCTTGCAGTAGATCATATTGAAGCAACCGCAATATAATCTGTAAAGTTAAGTAATTTCGATCAGATTATTACATCGTGAGGTTAACATACTGTAGTTACGGAGCTGTTCTTCCTCGGTTGTTATTTATGCGGGTAGCCAATCCTGTTTTATAGGAACAGAACGTGTCAGCGCCAAGTGTTGTCCCACTCTTGGATGTTGGATGGCCCTTGTTTACATAAGTGATAAAAAAAAAGTGGCCGAGAAACCACCACCACGAAAGCGTCACTGTGCTGCGGAAATCAAAAATCTATTAAAATACCACGGAAACGGACCGCATAACGCTGCCAATCAGCTTATGTGTACATAAGTGTGTATGGCTCTATTGATATTGGAGTTTTATTTATGCGAACTTTGGCATGGCCAATGCCGGGCAACAGGCAAGAGGGCAACAGGCAAGAGCCAGCAGGCCAGGCATCAGGCGGACGCATATTGAACTCTTGGCACGTCAGCTGATAAGATCCGCACGCTGATGTTTTGTTTTTGTTTTTTTTTTTTTTTTTTCATTCTTTTTGTCTTCTGTTTTGACCAAACGTCCAATATCATGCTAATGTTGCCACACAGTTGCATCAATTGTTTTTCAATCAAAGGGCCATCAATCTTTTGAATGTTTGTTTAATTAACGCACAGGCCGCTTTGTCTACCTTGCCCAATCAGTGGCAACCAACGCCCATGGCAATGGCATAAGTAAGCTGCGAGTGTTTCATGCCAGCCCAGTTGACCCTCGGTTACGCTTGATTGCCAGGATATACATATTCTGGTTCCGGACTCCACCCGATGCCTTCGCCCTTGTTCTGGCTTCGTTTTCGTTCTGCTTCTGCTTTGGTTTGGCATTTTTCTTTCGCATTTCACTTCTTAACTTTGTCCATGTCTTCTGCGTCCATTAAGTGTGTCTGTGCTAAGACTTGGAAATTGTCTTTTGAATGTTTCAATTACACGCCTTCTTAAGCACAGCTTCTCTCGACTCAAATTGAAGCAACGCTTGAGCCAGCAGCTCCCTTAAATTCGGTTGACAGGCGACTGGCTGCTCGTGCCTTTCGTATTTTTCGGCTTTCATGCGCCAATAAAGTGAAATACACAGATAGTCCAAGAATTTACTGCGTTCAATCTATCGTATGCATGTGAGGGTGCTATATATATATATGTGTGTCTGTGTGTGTGTGTGTGTGTGTGTGTGTCTTGCCTTTCTTATTGCCTTGCACCCGCCTGGCACTTTCGTTAAACACTTTTGCCTTAAACCATTAATTTCCTATACGTTCGCCTTGTACGTGTTGGTAGCCAGCACCCGGGTCTAGAGGAAACTTAATTTTATTGCTAAAAGCGGGTTAAGTGCTTGACACACAGCTGAGTGCCTCCATTATATAAAGCGCAGAGCCGGCTGCCTGCCTGCCACTGCCTCGATAGGAATCGAATTTGCTTTATGGCATGTATGCTAATTTTATGTCTAGTTAACATTCGCCCAGGGACTGAGGGTATGCTCCTCGATGGCTCCGAGTTAACATTTACTGCGATTGACTTTTAATTTACAGTTGAGCCCAAAGTCAGTTATCAGCCGTATTAAGCAACTGCAAATTAAAAGTGATTTGGTATTTTAAGTAAATCATTTTCTGGCATTAGCAAACTTAAGACCTCCCCAACAACTCTTTAATGGCCTGTAGCGTAGCTCATGATCGAACCCCCATTAAAATAAATGCATCGAATTTGTGTAAAACTATAAATTTCAAGTGTTTGCACAATGCGAGCAAATTGATTGCAAGAACCGTAAAATCAAATGATGCATAAATAAAATCAATGCCATCATGACCCAAAGGTCAAACTGCACAATATGTGCGTTATTTGCGAGGATTTTAGTTTACGACCGCAGAGCAACCAGATTGACACTTGCAAGCAAATTAAATAGAAAAGTGCGTTAGGCGAAAAGTGAGCCGAGAATGCTCTTGTGAAATTTTATACATAATTGAATTTATGGTCAATTCGTGTCACACACACACACACAGATACACTCTCAATCTGTGCATACCATTATTACCCAAAACATATAGACAGCTGAGGTCAGATCAGATCAGCGCTTTTCGGTGGGTGACTTGGCCCATTGGCCTGCGGCTATTGCACCACACGCCAAACAATCGGAAACCGAATGTCATCTTCAATTTCAAATTCAATTATAAAACAAATTGGTTTGAGCGCAAATAAATACAGCTACAAATATATCTATTTATAAATATATACGTACATCCATATATGTATGTGCATATGTATGTGCGGGGATGAATTGGTGTGGTCGAGCCACTCGAAGCAACATCAAACGGAAAATCCATTCATCCACTTTGGAATTGTGTCCAGTCGCTCTAGTGAAATAAATGTAATGAAATGTTAACAAATGACAACAGGCTGGCAAACATGCAGCAAAAACCGCAAGGGTGCCTTGCTCCTGCATCCATGCTGACCACACAGACAGACAGACACACACACACACACACACAGACACAGTACACACACATACTCCACGTATCGAATTAGTTTGATGAGATTTATTGGCTCAAGTCCCACTTGACCAACAGCAGCGCCTGGCCAGACAATTATGGATGAGTACCATTTGTTTTTGGCCGGACTTTGATACTTCACATTCGCTTGCTTATGGGCAAATCATGTGGCTGACAATGATGCTAATGACGATTCCTCGGCATTATATGGCACCGATATTCATGGCCGTTGGCTCAGATTTTCTCTATTACCTAAGCGCATCGGATTACCATGTGGGTGAATCAATCCCAAGCCCAAACCCAAAGGCAAACCCCGACTCGAAACTTAATGCCCATGCCCATGCCCACGCCCACTCACACGGCCATGCCCTTGCCTGGGCAGTTCAGCCCACGCACGACGCTTGTCAACGCCAGCCCCTTGTTGCAGGTCCTTTGGGGAAATTTGTCAGAGCATCAGCAGCGTTAAGGTGCCAATTAAGGGCTTTTTAGTATCAATTACAAAATCGCACGTTTCCACACCTTTATCAAGCTTGAGGAAGTCTGTCCTTGTGTGCACGTATGAGTGCCAATCTATCTGTGCCTCTGTGTGTGGAGCCTTTTCGCATTACGTGGCTGGTGTTATATGCCGGTCAGCATTCGGTTTGGGGTTCGGTTGGGCTCTGCGGCTCTGCTGCTATGTCTGTGGCATCTTTTGCGAAATTGTTTTGTGTCATTGTTTTTATTTCTGCTGCTTTCGGCTCGCCTCCTTTTCTGTCACTCCCCATTTGACAGCGTCATTTTGTCAGTGATTTATTGTTTCGATGGCGGCAAATTGGGTTTGTCATTAAAGTAGTTAGATTACTGAAAGCATAATCGAGAGATTACGACAACATTTTCGCCCAGTCGCAATCTATGATAATAGAGCTTCGATTTATATTCTATTAAAGCGTGTTAAGGTCAAGGGAGTAAGTCTTAAAACGAGAATTGGAATGAAACTTTTTAAGTTCATAGATAATTAAAAGAATAAATGTGCCGAGATGTTTCTGGCATATTTAATCACTCTTAATTAATTTCAGATAGCTGTTGGCTACTTGAATCAGGTTCCTTAACGGATAGTTGAGGTCTTATATTAAAATTATTAGCAGTTGCAATATAAAATATATGAATTAAGGAATAAGCTTGAGCAGGCTTTTATTTTTCAACTTTATAAGCTTCATTAGTGGGGTACATAAGATCAGCCTAGCAAGAATCGCTGCAACGAGTCATGTTCTGTCTCTGGCACAGAAACTGTGCCTTCTCCAGGCACTTCCAGTTATTCATCCGGAAAGCTGAATCCCGGGACCACAAGTTCATACAGTGCTCAACACCTGGCAAATCTGGCTGCCCATCAGACCAAGAGAAGAATTTCAGTGGCTGTCCGTTGGTTATTGACATGAACTTGTCAACTGAGACAAGATCGTTGTCCGATATCAAGTACCTAGCGTGCTTGTCGGCGTCGGCCAGATAATCTGAAACAATTTTCATCTCTTCCGTCGGTTCGATCAAGGCCAGATCTCCGCCAAATCTTCGACATATGTGGGCGGCTTGGAACCAGGTCACTTTTGATCTACCATGGAAATAGTATTTCTCGCCGATCCGGATTGGTTTGCAAAATCTTTATCAGAGACTCGAATATATTTACATTATTCACGATATCCTACCAGTAATTTTAGGGTCGCTTGGATAGTTTAAGTCATATGCGTGTGCACTGTAGAGACAGACTCCGAGTAGGAAAAGTAGAGAGTGTTTCATAGTGAATCGTAGCAGTGCGAAATTAGTTTGAGCAACCCAACCAGCCAGCCAACGTCTTTTATAGCGATATCTGACTTTTTACTTAAGTATATACATGCAAAATGAAGTATCCCTTCAAGTATGGGTAAACTCTTTCCCAGTTTTACTCTCCTATATTGCCAGTCAGCCAGTTGCGAATATATTCGATTTAATTGTTTAGGTATTAAAAAAAAAAAAAAATTTCTTTAAGTTATATAAGATATATGTATATGTAGATATTTACATATTATTTCATTATTTATTTAAGTATTAAAAAAAAAACCTAACAAATCGCCTAACATCTGCTGATTGTTAAACAATTATATAAACAAGATGCATAAGTCACAAAAATTAAAATAAATAAATATCTAAGAGATATTCAGCACAAAAATTCTAATAAAACCAAAAATATATAATTTGAGTATATTTACATATTTA